ATTAATGGATAACCAAATTGCAACAAAGATTTTGATGCACAATTATAAAAAAATAGCTTTTTTTAAAGCCAAAGTTTAAAACATTTATAAGAATATTAGTGTATATTTATAAATACAATAATATAGCTGATCAAATGCAATTAACATTCTAAGTATAACAAAATAAATACATAAAAATGTTAATATTAATAGAAGATATCTTATAAAAAAAGAAGTTCTAAAATTTTAAAATTTTAAAAAATAATCTTTAAAATTTACCTATATTTATTATACTTTTAAAATTATTAATTACCAATAAAATCAAAAGAAAATAATTTTAAATATATTATACATACTTTCATATAAATTTATTAAAAAAAATCATCATAATATTTAGTAATATACTTGCACCCACTTATTCTTTGTAAAACTTTGAACCACCTACTCATTGTTAAGTTTTAAGCCAATTATTCTATGTTAAACTTTAAACAACTAATGCATTATTTAGCTTTCAAACAAGGTTTTATTTGTGAGGCTTTGACTTGCCTATTTTTGTTAGGAATTGAGCCATCTTTTATTTGTTAGGCTTTGAACTATATAGTGCATGTTAAGTTTTGGGCCACTTTTTACTTATTATTTGTTAGGCTTTGAACTATATAGTGCATGTTAAGTTTTGGGCGACTTTTTACTTATTATTTGTTAGGCTTTGAACTATATAGTGCATGTTAAGTTTTGGGCCACTTTTTACTTATTATTTGTTAGGCTTTGAACTATATAGTGCATGTTAAGTTTTGGGCGACTTTTTACTTATTATTTGTTAGGCTTTGAACTATATAGTGCATGTTAAGTTTTGGGCCACTTTTTACTTATTATTTGTTAGGCTTTGAACTATATAGTGCATGTTAAGTTTTGGGCCACTTTTTACTTATTATTTGTTAGGCTTTGAACTATATAGTGCATGTTAAGTTTTGGGCCACTTTTTACTTATTATTTGTTAGGCTTTGAACTATATAGTGCATGTTAAGTTTTGGGCCACTTTTTACTTATTATTTGTTAGGCTTTGAACTATATAGTGCATGTTAAGTTTTGGGCCACTTTTTACTTATTATTTGTTAGGCTTTGAACTATATAGTGCATGTTAAGTTTTGGGCCACTTTTTACTTATTATTTGTTAGGCTTTGAACTATATAGTGCATGTTAAGTTTTGGGCCACTTTTTACTTGTTAAAGTGTGAAACATCTATTGGTTGATAAGCTTTGAATTAGTTTATATTTTTTAAGGTTTAAATTAGTTTCTATTTATTAATCTTTGAACTAACTACTCTTTCTTATGTTTTAAGCACATACACGAAGGCGCATACACGGAGGTGGAAGGGAAGAGAGAAAGTAAGAGAGAAAGTGTTGGGGGAGAGGTGTTTGATGGAATTAACTCCGCTGGTGGTGGTAACGAAAATGAGGATGACATGGTGATGGATGCATGCAGGTGGTGGAGGAAATAAGACAAAGAGAAAAAGGATCAGGGAATTTTTGGATAGGTGAGAATCCGGTGCATTCCCGGGCAGTTGAACCCGACGTGAATCGAACACGCAACCTTCTGATCTGGAGTCAGACGCGCTACCATTGCGCCACGGATCCCCTGATGGAGATCTCCGAAAATTTTAAAAATATAGATCCAAAACACTACTCTCTGGAATCTCGCGACACGCGAATGACATCGGAATCTCGTCGGAATGGGTCGATGGTCCCCATCGCTGACTAGATGCTGCTCATCGTCCAGCTTCCCATCGCCTTGGCCTCTTCGTCGCACCCGGTGATCGATCACTTTTCAGTCCCTGTGCTTCTGCTTCTGCCCCTGCACCTTGTGGTGTGCGTACATTGTGCACTCGTTGGATGTCTCTCGCTATTCGCGTTTATGTCGCTGCTCTGCATGCGCTCTGGTACGCATCACATCACTCGCTTTCGTCAATCCGATCATGGTCTGAGTTGGGAACAGAGATTTAGACGTTTAAGAAGTATTACTAAATGAAATGAGTTTTGAAGTGGCTCTTGAAGACTGTTTCGGCGCATGGCTGTCACACATTGAAGATTATTGAGTGTCTGGCACTCTGTCTTTCAGATTCCATTGTCAGGTCGCTAATGTCTTGTCACATTTTGTGATGAAGATGTCAAGATTATCGAGGTTATATATGTATGATGTTAATCACAAGATTACAGAGGCCACATTTCAAGGAAGTTGTAATTATTACACACTATGTTCCACAAAAGTTGTAATTATTACACACTATGTTCCACAAAAGTTGTAATTATTACACACTATGTTCCACAAAAGTTGTAATTATTACACACTATGTGCGATCCGATATGCTCAGACTGTGAGTATGGTTTGTTAGATTTTTCTTACCAAGGTGGGGGAGATTCGCTACGTATGCAGGGAGTGCACTTGGTGATATGAGGATTTCCTCTACGTCGATTGGCAGCTGACGAGTAACGGTGAATGTTCAACTGAGCCCGCTTTTATGTCTTTCTTGACAAGGTTGTAAATAGATGTAGTGCGAGGTGAAAGTACTAAGCCTGGTATGAGAGCGATTTCAGTTGATTGTTCAATGTTGCTGTCACACTATTCTGCGGAGTCCATTGTCAGGAACCAGCTATTTGGCTGTATATATAGAGCTTTCGGATGATCTTTAATTGCAATCTTCTATAACAATGGCTTACTTCAGATGCCTACGAGCCCTCTTCGTGCTCCTTATTGCGGTTTTGCTCGTTTGTCATTGCTTTGCGCAGCCTATACTTGCGAGAAACGTTGATGTCAACAAATGTTTGGTGAGATCTACTCTTCAACTGCAGCCATTGCCATGTCTTTCGACATACTTTCTGTTGCATAGAATGAGCTGTGAACGTGTACGGTTTAATAACTGAAGTGAATGTTAGCACGGTAGAATACACTACTGTTAGAAGTTCTCTCGGAACGTCTCATCTTCCTGAGTTTGAACAATTGAATATTTTGTGGATAAGCAGCTTGCAAATGTCAAACTGCTATTAAGATCTTGATTGAAGCCACTAGTTCGAATCTGCAGATGACCTCGGAAAATGCTAAGAAGACTCAGGCATGATTAGGTGATGGATTCAAGTTTGGTCATGGACGTGGCAACTGGCGCGGGCGTGGTCGCGGGCTTGCAGGTGGCGGAGGTGGTGGTGGCGGAGGTGGTGGTGGTGGTGGAAGCAATGGCGGCGGCGGCGGTGGTGGTGGAGGAGGGGGCGGAGGCTAAGAAACGCAGAATGTTCTCATGCAGTTCTCCAGTAAAGGCCATTCTCTCATAGCGAATTGTATCATTTTTAGCTCGTACTCGTACGCGTTCACCTCGGTGGTGAACTTCATGATCTAGAATGTTCATTTTAATTGATAAGGACGAATCCGTCTACCGGTTACTCTTGCTAACTTGTTGATGTCCGTTGTAATATTACGTTCGTGATTTAGTTTTGATTGGTGTCGATGAATTCTAAACTGTATAGTATGTGTGTTATTCTTCGCTTTGGCAGCTTTGGAGTGGAATTAATATTGTGAAAAGAAGTTAAGCATGAACGGTATGAGCCTTCTGATCACGGCAACGTTCGTTTGCGTACTTGCTCACAGCCAGCATATGAGTATTACACTGCATGTAACCGTCTTGGCATAAATAGAGTGCATAGTTTATGAATACTTGATGAGAAACAACTTGCTCATCAAGGTGCGCACTGCCCACTGTTTGAGTATCAAACCTTTTTATTACTTAATCCAAGGCTCGTCCAGGTTATGGCACAGCAGGAGCTTTGATTACGCTTCCCACTTTCTGAATTGATTTGGCATGAAAGACCTGGTGAGCACAATAAAGAGGGCGTTCCTTCAACTGCAAGGGAGTCATGGGCTCCTTCACTTGGAACAACAACACTGGTCAAGGATCCCACTCAACTCTAACTTTCCATCAACAACGCTTTCAACTAGGACTTGAAGCTTAAATTTTACGTCATAAAACTAAAGCATTCATAATGAGAGGAAAAATATGGACCTAAAGCACGTCAAAACCGTGATTATTACAGTTTGTAGTTAGTTGAGAATTGTGCATATGATTTGCCATGGAGGATAAGATACAAATAGTTTCACAAAAGTTAATTAAATTCCAAACAGTATGACAAATAAAGAACATAAAAACTTGTAAAAAATAAATATTCTAATGTTCAGTACTAGATCAATCGAGTTTAGACATTCAGTTATCTTATCCTTAGACACCAGATGTCAACGACACTGGATGCCTTCCATCATAGCTTTGCTTCTTCGTAAGTCATCGAGATAGCCACGTGTCGGCCGTAGTTACCTTTCAATGCCCTTTCTGCTTCCAGCTGCTCGGGAATTCCAAGTTCAGCGCTGCATTTTCTCTGTTGCCGTTCACGTAGGAGATCGAGACCAGGTGATGGCTTTCCAGATTGGCTCATTGCAGGGTAAGATCAGATTTGCAGATGCCATTCCAATGTTGGAAACTCCTCGTGAAGTATCTTTTCACAGTTCTGGCAACCCTTCGCGAGCAGTAAAACTTTCTATTTAGAACTACAAGTTTCCTTCGTGTTCGGTCAATGCTTTCACAAATGGCACATGCCAGTTGTCTGTGGTCGCTGTATACGTGGATAGCGATGCCAGTCGACGCTGGTAAATTTCTACTTCAATCTACAGCATCTACATCTGCACAAGTGCTGCCACGGCGAGATTTTCCAAATGCTGTCCGCAGTCGTGTGTGGAGGGAACCTGGAGGTGGCATCTCTTAACTGCATTCTGAATCGGCAAAGCTTGGTAGTTTCCCAATTAGCGAAGATTTTCATACATCGCAACACGCCAAGTATTCGGGGACCACGGTCAGCAATTCTTACACCAGCACTTTTCAGCTGCGGAGGCGACTTTCTTTGTTTCGGAAACAGCAGTTGAAGGTTCGGGGTATGAATTCACTGATATATATTTGGAAAGTTTGACCCTGGTGTATCTGTATTTAAGTTGTCGTTGCAGCCGCCAGTCCATACCATTGCTTGAATCTAATTTTCTTGGCAGCCATGGGACTCTACAAGAATGCTTGTGTTCTTTCGAGCTTTGCGACACTGCTTCTGATTCTTCATTTCTTTGCAACACAATCCCTGGCTCGGCCTTTGGGAGAGACGTCAGAAAAGGTCGAACCGCAGGAGGCAACTCAACAAGTCATCCTTGGTGTCGTATGCTCGTAATCTTTGTGAATGTGAATCTCGAGTCATTTACATAAAATTCGCAGTCTAGCGTTAACACGTTGATGGTTTTGGAACTGCTCCATTTGCAGGCAACCAACGTTGTCGCAGAGACGCAGGGATTCGGTAAATGGGACTGGGGCGAAGGTAGAGGTGGACGGGGTGGGGACAGATTTGGTCGGGGCAGAGGAGGCGGATGGAGGGACCGGGGAGGGGGCGGTGGCGGTGGAGGAGGTGGTGGGGGGGATGAAGGAGGCGGTGGAGGAGGTGGTGGAGGGGATGAAGGAGGCGGTGGAGGAGGTGGTGGAGGGGATGAAGGAGGCGGTGGAGGAGGTGGTGGAGGGGATGAAGGAGGCGGTGGAGGTGGTGGAGGAGGCGGAGGCGGTGGTGGAGGCGGTGGTGGGGGTGGGAAGTAATCGCGCACTGGTATCACTAAGAGCACTACATTGCACTGGATGCCACTGACTTCTTCACTGGTCTTCGAGGTGCAATCAGCTTTAGTGTCTGCGAATCTATCGTCGTGTTTCTCTCCGATCCATTCATTACTATGCGCTTGCTGTTGTTTTGTTATCACATACTCGCTGAGAGTACAAGAATGTCTACTTGTTGATTTGTACCACAGCAGTAAGGTGCTTAATGGGCTAAGAAAAGACCTCCAGCAAATTTTGGAGTTATTTGTGGGATTTGAACCCTACAAAGTTTGCTGAACTGAATGGATTAACTGTCTTTTCGCCAATTCATTGGCAATCTGTTGTGAGGAGTACAAGCTAGATATTGGAGACTCATTGGAAATATTATATAGCACTAGTTTGAATATATATATATATATATATATATCATAAATCGTCTACTCTTGATAGTGGTGTAAATAGTGTTGTAGTCTTATAAGTTGTGTGGATTTGAGTTATAGAATAATCTGGCTACTAGAGTTTGTATTTCCAATTCTAAGCTCTTGTATTTTAGAAATATGTTTTTAAATAAAAATCAGTGTGCATTGAATTATTTACCAGTGTAATATTATATATATATATATATATATATATAATAAAACTTTGTATCTACTCGGAAGAATGAGTTATGTTTTTGAATGCCTCATGTACACAAGGTTGTTGTCAAAATATTACCGTTGATAAGTTTAGCAATTACGACACTTCAAAGTACAGGGGAGATAATAGAAACTACATCCATTACAAACATTAATGCCTCTATATCAACATTATCAACAAATTATTTTCCAATCATGAATCATGTTTTTCTATGAAGTTTATGCAATTATGTTTTTCAAGCTTGAAAAAACAACCTATTATTGTGGATAGAAGTAGTTCTCAACAGAAATAAGACCTTTCACTCTTGTTCAAGATCACATCGTTCGGATTAATAACTACAAGTTGAATCCACCATTCGTCTCCAATCTTTTCACCACTCTAAAATTACATTCACCTAAAGTTTATGCGAGTTAAAATTGTTAAATCTACATGCCTTTCATACTGGGATTATTTCAAATACTATCAGCAATACAAATGATCAGCAATACAAATGATAGAACCACAAAAATCTTGTAACAAAGCAAACTATGGACTCGAATCTATTTATATCTTTAAGTGTAAAAAGTATAAAGATTATTGCATAGGACTTTACAATCCTTTTTTAAGCAAGCAGGTTCGGTTGGATACATCATCAGATTTGCTAGTGGACTTAGATACCAACTAACATGGATTTTTTTAGAAGCAAATCTTTGGTCATCTTTGAATGCTATTCACGGTTGTATGTGAGGGAGCTAGCCTTGGTCACAAACCTTGAGGTTTCTTATTGCTCCACGCAAGTGGATATGGATTCATGAGTATAAGCTATAATGCAAATTGTTGATTAGAAACTTGGTAGAAATATATTGAATTTACATAAACTTCCATCTTAATTCAACTTCGCTTTGTGTAAACAATTGTGGTTGTTTACTTATTGAATTTTTGAGATGTAAGGACTCTAATTATCATGGATATATATATTTACTATATTATTTATTTGTATGATTAAGTAAAAGTAGATAAAAGTAGATTAATTTTATAATATATGCTAGAAAAGCTTTCTAGAAGCTTTATAGATGCTACTTTGACTTTACATGTGTTTGTAGTTGATTGGTACGATAGGAACTTAGTCAATAAGTTAACATGGTGTTGATAGCTTGTAGAACAAGTTAACCATGTGGCGTACATATAAAAAACTTCCCTTGTAAGTTAAGATATGTGTCTTACAAAGTCAATACGTTCTAGAGGTCCTATAGGATATTGCCACGTAGCTCCTAATTAAGAGTATATATGGAGGTAAGAATGAAGAAGGCTTCACTCTTGTCATCGCCTTTCTAGTCATTAGTCTTGTTTCAAGACTCTCTAATCTTCTTGTCTTTGGCAATAGCCATTCTATTCCTTAGTCTTGTTTCAAGACTCAATAGTCTTCTTGTCTTTGGTAGTAGCCCTTCTATTTTAATATTACATAAACTTTGAGTGATTATTTAGTCTTTCAATCATCACAAGAGTGTATTAACATTTTAGTTCTTTGAGGTTCATGTCCTTGACAATTTCATAAGAGTGCTAACTTTTTGTTTTTATTTTGTTTTAGAAGTGAGTGGATTATTTCACGTCTATTATTGTATTTTGAAGGTTGTAGATTACCTATCTTTAAACAAAATATTTAGTTTCCTAACACCAATTTTTTTTCCTTAAAGAGAGCTGATTATTCTTCTTTGTGGAAATTTTCATTTGATATTAGAGGTTGTCAACTACCTTCTTTTAATTTAACTTGTGGATTTATTAAGCTATTTGAAATGGAAGAAAAAATCATGGATGCTATACTTAGTAGAAGTGAGAATAAATTTGCAACTATTGTTGATTTTTACAAACTTGTCAACACTCTTAGAGTAAAAATTTCATGTATCATCAATGCCAACCATGGAAATGTTAATCGTATACCTATGGAAGAAGTTCAAAACCTACAACAAGAAGTTGTAGAATTAAAGAAGGAAGTAAATCAAACTCACAACCAAATCTAGGAATTTTTGCTTCTACAAATACAACATAGATACGAATTAGTATGTCAAATAAGTTTGATGGAACAAAATCAAAATTTCAATGATTTTTGTAACATGTCAAGCTCTATTTAAGATTGCTTTCCTTCTAATAATCTAATAGATTTATTCAAGTTGGATTCATATGCACACTTCTACCTAGAAGTGCTTTCTTTTTATTTGTACCTTTAATGGAAAAGGATTTGCAACTCTTTTATAATTTGAATTCATTATTTGAAGTATTTACAACTACATTCAAAGAAAGTAATAAAAAAAAGAGTAGTAGAGACCAAGCTCTTATCTTTACGACAAAGATCATAATCAGCTATCATATATTTTGCTAAATTCCAAAATATTCCTTGTGAAATGGACTAAAATGATAAAGCCTTTATCAATCAATTTAAATATAGATTGAAGGATAATATCAAGGATTTGTTATTCATAATGCTAAAGGTACAATTATTGGAATAATTTATTACTCAATCTATTACATGCGACAATTGACTATTTGAAAGGCATCAAAAATAAAGACTTGGCTGAAGAAGAAAAAGTCTAATAATGCAGCAATTTCCAAATTTTTATAAACTTATTCATTAAGGCAAGAACCAATATAAATTGATACAATACGTTTTAAATCCTTCATAGAGTAGGATAAAAATTGATGTAGTCAAGAGGGTTTGTACTTATATTGAGGAAAAGATAAGCATATTGCTCAACATTATCTAAAGAAGCAATGCAATCACAAATTAAAGAGCACAATTACCAAATAAGACAATGTATCAAAAAACAAGTTTTTCCAATTACAATAGAGATCATGTGGTTGGAATCATGTGAAAAAATTAATAAAGGTCTTATTCTCTCTTTAGATCCTTCACCTTCTTTTATAATAGATGTCTGTTTAGGACCTAAAAATGACAAAGTGTTAGGGACATATTCCTTAGAACTTTCTAGAGAGAAGTTTCTAGAACCTTCTAGAAAACAAGCCTCTGGAACCTTCTAGAAGAGAAGCCTCTGGAACCTTTTAGAGAGAAGTTTCTAGAAGCTTCTAGAAAGGAAGTCTCTGGAACCTTCTAGAAGAGAAGTTTCTAGAAACTTCTAGAAAGGAATCCCCTGGAACTTTCTAGAAGCTTCCTAGTTAATAGAAGTAGCTCGAGAAGTTTCTAGAACCTTCTAGAAAGTAAGCCTCTGGAACCTTCTAGAAGCTTCCTAGTTAATAGAAGTAGCTCGAGAAGCTTCCTAAGTAGGAGTATATATAGGGATCGAGGCTGAAGAGTTCTTCAGTCTCGACAACACATCTCTTGGAGTTCTAGCTCATCTTTCTGGTGTTGTTCTTGTACTCATCTGTTTAATCTAGTTCTGTCACTTCTTCTTGAACTTCTTGTTAGATTTCAAGTCTGTATTTTGTGTCCGTGACAGTTTGTCGAGACTACACTAACTTGAGATATCAGAGCTAGTTCTTTCTTAGTAGAGTGTGGATTACCCCTCTACTTGAAGGTATACTAGCATTTTTTAGAGGTTGTGGATTACCCTCCTCTAAATTGATACTTATTCTGTTACAATATTGGAGTCTTATTCTTCTTGGAGAGAGTGGATTATCCCTCTTCTTGAAATTGTTAAGGCGTTTTATAGGTTGTGGGTTACCCTCCTATAAACCAATATTGCCTCTTATAGGGTCATTTTTGTCCTTCTTTTAGAATGGCCGGAGGTCAAGACATTAGTATGACAGAAAGTTCGGAGTCTAAGTTAGATGCTATTATGAATGCCCTCGCTACGTTATCACAAAGAACTGCAGAGATTGAAAGAGTGGTGGCAAGGCTTCATAATGATGGAGTATCTGGGATAGCACAATCTAAACTACACCAGCCTCAAATTTCGGCACTTAGAGAAACAACTTTACCTCAGGTTCGACAAGAACCACTAGTTCTACAACATAAAGAGCCTCGAGTTAGCCTTCCAGATAAGTTTCATGGAATACGTTCCAAGTTTCGAGGATTCGTCAATCAAATCATGTTGATAACACTTTTACAGCCCGAACGATATCCAACGGAGGAGTCACGTGTTGGGCTTGTTGGAACCTTACTTACGGGACAAGCCCTATCACAGTTTGCTCCTTTGTTTGAGAAACGATCATCCATATTAAACAACTTCAAAACCTTTTTGGAAGCATTTGCGGAAGCATTTGGTGAACACGATAAGGTTCGATGGGCTACAACAAAGATCCGGTCGCTACGACAAGGGATGCGTTCTACATCAGTCTATGCTTCAAATTTCAGGCAATTAGTATGCGACATCAATTGAGATGAAGAAGCGTTGATGAGTCAATTCTATTGGAGTTTAAGAGATGATGTGAAGGATTTG